TCAAAGGCAAAAAAAATTCAAGGATCAAACAAAGCACAAATATAGAAAGAAATATAGATATGGCAAAAGCAGTGCCATACATTCAAAGTGACCAGTACAATGTGTCAAGGATGTGATTAGTCATATGGATGGCATTTTAAGAACATGAAAAACTACAAACACTGTATGAGTGTGTGAAAGCAATGTGCACAAATCACAAGCAAATGCAATGACGAAACTTCGAGAAACAAGACAGATTCAAGAACAAAGAATGTCTCATACTAAACAAAATGCAACTATGAAAACAGATGTAACTTCCACAGCAACAGATACGGAGTGAAACATATAGGAAAACTCAAAAGGAAGATCTATTGAAGAACATGACCGGGAAGTAAAAAGAAGAAACTAAGGACTTACCGAGTGAAGCCGACAGAAAGGATGCCGGAATGAGTCTCGCCGAAGTCAGATAGCGTGAATAAACCAAACGACGAAATGTTCGCCGGAGGAAATGATTGAAGCAGTTTCAGAAAACTCAAAATCATAACAATAGAGGGTTTTTTGAAGTTTAGAGAGAGAAATCAATTTTGCAAAAGTGAAGAGGCGATGAGAGAGAGTAAGAGTTTTGTCAAAAATTCGAAAAGGCGGCAAACCATAATGAAATGCCTATGACGACGTGCCTGTCAGACGGCATGGGCAGATCGACACGACTTAGTGATACGTGAACGGTACGAGCCAGTAGGGGTGTGACATGTGGAGGAAACGGTTGAGAAAACCGTGCGTGACAGCTCATACGCAAATAAAACTCTTGGAGTTCTTGATTTAATAAAGCAAACACCTCGTCTAGGGAAACGATTTCGGTTGAAAAACTCAAAAAACTTGGTTCTTGATTCTTGGTCATTGGTAAAGATGGGCAGTTGAGTCCTGGGTACTTGAAGCCGATGAGTAATGATCTCGGCCGTGGAAGAAAGAACAAATTTTAGACGATATGGTAAATAAACAAACGATGTAGGTTCTATCACTTCAGATTGCCGAGATAATAGAACCTAGGGTTAGTTGTGGGGACATATTTTGAGAATGACAGTACGTGGCCAAGGTGACACCGAAGTGTCAGCCGAGGTGCCACGTGGTCAGGTCATGATGCCGAGGTGATCTCTACTAGGCTAAGGTTACCTGCGGAGATGCCGAAATCTAAGATGAGCGGATAAGGGACAAGAGTCTTAGAATAGGAGAGGATCTTAGTCTGGACAAAGATAAAACTGTTAGGGAATTTATCCCTATCTAGTTGAGAGTCTAAGATGAGCATTGAGCCTAAGTCCATTGAGGTTAGGCTTCTACAAGGATCAGGTCACTATTGGGTATAAACGCAAGGCACCCTCGTGGGTCTGAGATAAGTTCTTTCTTGTGAGTTTAAGTATAATTTGCTATCTCTGAGAGATATTGATTACTGACTTGATCGTCGAAGTGCCCCCGGGTATACGAACTACAGTCGGATTCTTATCTTTCTGTGACAGGTTGTTCGAGCTTAATCTATTCTGCCGGTACTCTCCAGCTGAGTTTTCCTTTTTGATTGTGTGATCGGAAATCAACACCCACAAAAATGCTATAAAGGAGTAAAATAAATACCATGAAAAACAATTTAGATATGAATCCATATAAAAATGTGCATTTATAATAATCTAATTCTAGTATGATGATGTAGGGGTGGTGCAAAGCATACATCTTTCTTAAAAGTTAGGGGTGAACTTAAACCAACTAAAAAAAGTCCTTGAAATTAAGCTTTCATTTCAAATTTATTTCTTCATATAAGGTAAACCTGAATCATGATTATAGGAGCATATATATATATATATATATATTAAACATGTTAATGGATATTTCATTACAAAAATTTAATTTATTATATTACACCAAATAAGGTCTCGTTTGGAAAAAAAAAATAGTAATTTTTTAACTTTTTGATTAAAATATGATATGAACAAAACTAATATGTTTATGATGACTTTTTAATTTTTTACGAAAATATATGAAAAAAGTAGAGAGAACATGGAATATTTAACTTTTTGATACATGTTGTTGGCCTTTTGATTTAATAACATTTTAACTTTTAAGTTAAAAAATAATATTGCTAAACGAGACCTAAGAGTGATATCAAGTTTGAAGGTTGTAAATTCAATTATAATTATAATTATAATGGTGGTGAAATTATTATTATCTAAAAAATAAAATAAACTATTGAAAGCTCAATAACCATATAAGCTTTTATGGGTGAGGGTGTAATTGGGCAGGTTGAGTGGTTACTCAAGCATGGTTGGCATATGTCTCTTTACTTTAAAAGTCGAAAAGTTATTATAAAAAGTAAAAAATTTATAACTTATGTCAAAATGTTAAAAATTTCGATAGTATTTGGTAGAGTTTTGAAATTATAATTTGATAATAAAGTTATATTTTGAGTTTGTGAGTTTTGAAATTATGATTTGAATGTAGAAAATTTATTTGATTATGAGTTTTAAAAAGAATTTTAAATTGAGTTTGAATTGAGTGACGTGGCATATGATATTTGATACAAAAATTTATAACTCATAACCAAACACACAATCCAAAATTCTATTCAAAACTCATAAAAAAAATTCACAAATATTTTTTTTGTAATATAAAAATAACAAGTGTTAAAAATAAAAAAATAAAAAAATGAACACTGTTTCGGTCAACCGAACGAATGACCGGTTAGTCCAAATTTTCCTACCTTGGAAAGAGTTTTCAAAAGTGAGTGTGAAATTAATTTTTGAAAACGCTAAACAAACACTACACTCAAAAGTGAGTGTGGAACTATATTTTGCAAGCCCCATCAAACAGTGCCTTCATTTTTTTTTCTTCTATTTTTTACACATTTTTCGTAAAAAAATAAAAAATCATTCAAAATATATTAGTTTTTTACCTTATATTTTAATAAAAAAAACTAAAAAATTACTAAAATAACATGTTTCCAAACGAAATCTCAGACTTAATTTACTTAAGTCTGTCCAAGCTCAATTATGACTTGTTTGCCCAAACCTGACCTAACTAATTAGGCCCCAATTGTTTGAATTACCCATAAATTTGAGTTTTTTTTTTTATTGTTAAATTGATTGATATGTTAAAATTATATTTCACACATTAAAATAAATAATTGATGTGAGAATGATGAGAATTTGCAGAAGAGATGCACCGTTGCAATGGTCTTTATAATTTTTAAGTGTAAAAAAAAAAAGGGGTTTTATTTTGTATTATTTGCATATATAATATATGGTATGTGAGGGAGATTTATAATCTGGCTTTGGGCCGTGGTAGAAGCCGGGCAGAGAGAGGTCCGAGCATATTTAGGCCGAGCTAACGTGGGCTTCTCCATAGTTGGTTTGCTCGGTCGAGGCCCAGGTCCCACGTTTGGGCCGAGCCAACTTGGGCCTGTCCAGGTTAGGTTTGCTCGGTCGAGTCCCAGCTTCCAGGTTTGGGCCGAGCTAACTTGGCCGAGGTGATTGTCGGCCAACCCGGGTTACGTGGTTCACACATTTAGCTCGGCGGGAAGGGTCTTCGGAATACCGGCTTAATCTATCTAGAGCTCAGTAGTACCGGAATGCTACTGAGCTCGGCTATGATGGAGCTTGGCGAGTGGCGCTGTCGGGCTCGTTACGTAGCACGGTCATAGGAGGCCGAGGTGAGGTCGTCGGGCTGCCCCATTCCCGTTAACGTTGTTTGGCGGTTTGATTAGGTGGTGTTTAGCTGGATTTTCTCTGACAGATGAGAGAGCAGTTTCACGTGTCAATAGACGAGCGGGTGCAGAGGTGAACGCAAAAAGTATATAAGCATGACTGCGCCCCCCATGCCAGGGATGGAACATCATTTGGTGAGAGAAAACTTAACATTCATTCAGCTCTTCTATCTCTCTCTGTCTGAGGGTGTGCTAACTTGATCGTCGGAGGGGTTTTCCGACAACACACTGCCAGGTAGCTCACCGTCGTTGTGTTTGCAGATCAATCAGACAGAAACGGAGTTTGGACACAAGGAGTACGGAGAGCGACGGATTTCTCCTCTCCGTACATGGTAAATATGATCTAACAATTTAAATTATTTTAATATCATTCAACAATTAATATATTTAATATTTTTATAATTTTATAATTTTATATACACAATCCCATATTCAGATTACTTGAGTTGTTTGATATCTCTAACCACACTTGCCTAAATTGAATTCAAGATTCTGCATTTCTACTCAAGTTCGCATTTAATTCAAAAATATTTTATAGAAGTCCTAAAAAATTTTGAACTTGGCTGGGGTCCAAGTTGCACCACTATTTATAGGGATATTTGGTACAGTTTTATTTGAGCTGCTTATTGGTTTGGCAAGGGCTCATTGGGCTTTTTTGGCTTAATGAGCCATAAAATACAGAATAGGCTCATGAGTCACAGCAGACAAAACATCTTATCCAATCCCATAATCATTACACTCTTCTCTCACAAAAAAATTAAAAAAGCCAAAAAAACCAAAAGTCCTTCCCAAACTAAGCTTTTGAGCCCAGGCTTATATAGTTAAAAAAGTCAAAAAGTCAAAAAGCCAACCCACTTCCCAAACGGAGAGTTTGTGTTAATTTTTTTTTGGTGTATTCAATAAAGAAAAATGATTGGAAGTACTAAAAGTAGTGCTTTAATAGCATCACTAATTATCAATTTTTAATTTATAATAAATTATACCAAAATATTAATTCTTTTTAGAAAATTTAATTTTTTTTGATAATGTAATTATTACACTTCAAAGAATTAACTTTTTAAAATTACCATTACAATTATTACACTTTAAAAATATTAATATTAACGAATTTAAAATAAAGACAAGATAGAAAATTATATTATTTTAATTTTTAATTTTTTTTTAAACAAAAATATTATTTTGAAACAATAAAAAATAAGATAAGACATTAATATGTTGTCACTATTGAACATACCCTAATCATATTTTCACCATACATGCAAGCATATACCTTCATAAAAACAATTTAGGGTCAAATTCCTTTCTCCTTCTTGTCATGATCAAAGATTTTTCTCTCCAAACCACCCCTCCAAGCTCAATTTTGTGTGCCCTAATCTTATAATTTCACAAGTTAATCTCTCTCTCTCTCTCTCTCTCTCCATCCTGTAATTACCTAAAAATTTGCCCTACATTTTTTTGTTGTACCTTCCGTAGTCCTCCCATCCGGTGTGCTGGCAAAGCTCCACCATGTTCATCATTTTTCAAAACACCCCAAAACCCTCTAACCCTTAATTTTACTGCTCTCACTCTCACAATCTCACTACCCTTTTTCTTCATTTCCTGTCGATAAAGAAACCATTTGGTTTTCAACTAAAACCCACACGAGGTAAATGTTTTTTTTTTTAATTTAATTTAATTTAATTTTTTCCCAAACAAAACAGAGCATATGTATAGAGTGTATCGCCTTTATCTTTTGCCCTAAACATCAATAAAATTTAATTGAGTTGATTGGGTCAATTTGTTGATTCTGTGTTGTACCATTATATTTGAAAGAAATACAAAGAAAGAAAAATCGAGGTTAATGGCAGGATGGTCAGAATCAGAAGATGGGTTGGGTTTACAAAACGTTGAAATTGTTCAGACTTTTAAGAGTAAAAACAAGTTACATTTCGATCTTGGTTCGTCTGTAAAAGATGGTAATGTTGATGATTGTGATGAGAGACTGAGGAGCTTGTTTGATCAAGTTCTTTTGGTTTTTTTGAGGGAGATTTATGGAGAGAAATGCATTCGGCCCGTTCCGGCACTACTCGGAGACGGGCATCCAGCGGATTTGTTTAATCTTTTCTGGGTAGTTTGGAAAATAGGTGGGTATGATTCCGTTTCGCGGAATGGTTTGTGGGATTTTGTGGCCCTAATATTTTAATATCATGGTTGGATGGTGGACTGATAGCATCTGTAAAGTTAGTTTATATGATGTATTTAAATGAGCTGGATCAATTGTTGCGAACGATTTGTAGAGATAAGAGGTTGCGAAGTGGAGAGAGTGATGTTGGTGAGAAATTGGGTTTGTTGTTGTTGGAGTTACAGAAAGAGTTTAGATCTTTATTGTATGATGATGAACAAGATGTGAAGAAGAAAGATGGTAAACTTGTGGAATTGGAATCGAAGAAAAATGGGAAATACAATGATTTGGATATCGATAAGAAAGAGGTGATTTTACCAGCTGCTAGAGACTTTAGTGAAGTGCATGTTTATGCAGAAAAAACTATCAATGATGATGACAAAAATTTGTGTGTCAATGATGCAAGCAAAATCAATGCTTCGGACAAGACTGTTGTTAACCAAGTGTCTACTTCTATGAAGAGAAAACGAGAGTCTCTATCTTTTTCAGGAATGGTGAATTGGGTGACTGAAGTTGCAAAGCATCCTGATGATCCTGCAATCGGGAGAGTACCTGAGTGCTCTAAGTGGAATGATTATAGCAGCGATGAGTTCTGGGTCCAGGCTTTGTTGGCAAGGAAAGCTCTTTTGACAAGACATGTCAATTCAAACACAGTAGAATCTCCCTTGCAGGTATGGTTCATATATTCTTTGTTTGATTTGATCTAATTCAAATTCTAGAAGTAAGTTGTTTCTATATAGTTGCGCCATTTGGTTCTTATCTTGGCCAGGGTTCTGGCTTTTGCAGCACAAACGTGGTAAAAAATGATGGCTTTCACATGCGAATCATAGTCATGCCATCTTAATTGGGGAGAAAAAATTCATGTTTTTCATGCCTTTGTCGAATGATCATCAATAGTAGAATGCCATCATTTATTATCTTGTATATGGCCTGGTGTGAGATCTTTGTCCATTAGAAGACATCACCTTCCTTGTGTGTCAGCCTTAGTTTAAATCTTTGCCAATCTTGTAACCAAAGTTTTTTAAGTCAAATGAGTAACACGAGGCATTTTTGCCCTAATGAGGTGATGCGTAAACCTCAAGGCTTCAAGAGATAAGCATTTTGAATTTTGAATTTTTATATTTAGTAAATAGATTAAATATTTCAAAATAGTAAAAAAAAATATTTAAAATTAAATATAAAGAAGTAAACATTTTTTTGCTCAAGGTGTCGAACATTTTACCGTAGAGAAGGAAGTTTGTGTTCATCAGGGGTGAAATTGACATTTTAAGTTTCAGTTATCGAGTTTCTCAATTGAGTCTTAGCTTTATGTTTTTTCCTTAGTTAGTCATTTACTTGATTTTGCCCGTGGAATATAGTTACAAAAGAGGTTCTTCTCTATTTATTTATATGTAAACCATGTATTAAACTAAGACTTGGTTTGGAAAATTCTAAAAAAGCCAAAAAGTCACTAAAAAGCCGAAGAACCATACAACAAAGTTAAAAATTTCATTCTCTCTACTTTTTGCATTTTTTTTTTTTTGTAAAAAGCTAAAAAATTATCCCAAGCATACTATTTTTTTTTTTCACCTCATATTTTAGCCAAAAAGTAAAAAAGTTACTAAACTAGCTTATTTCCAAACCCACCCTTAAGTTTAAGAATAGCTCAAGATAAGCTTTTGATATGCATAATCCTCATATGCTTATGTGCAAAAAGCGCACGGCTTAGATTGTGATGCACAAGCCTTTGGGGAGTATTGCCTACAAATCAAAGCCTCGGTGCATTTTGTCTTAGTCATGCCTCAATGTGAGCCTAAATAATGCCTTTTAAAAGTTTTCTGTAACTAGTCAGATCACTTGGTGAAAGGCATAGAAATGACATGATGCTTGAACGCATTTCAATGCACATAGATAATGCTTAACTTGATAGGTATGAGTGGATAATGGTGTCTGGGGTGGTTGGGACATGGTGATGTGGGAAGATGGTAGGTAGGCACTCAACTGGCAAGGGACCATCGGAGGCAAAGGAGAGGAGAGCTAAAGGCAGCCAAGATGGCAGTGGAGAGAGTTTTGAGGTCAACTGACGGAAACAAGTGGCCTGATCTCCTGTCCTGAGAGCTCCCAATTAGGGATCCCCAGAAATGGGATCTCTGTCCCTTAGCCTCTTTGGCAATAATGCATGGAGGTTCTTTACCTCTGCATGTCAGGATATCTTCAGAGAAATTGAACTTTTCACAGTATCATATGTCTTTGGTTGGTAACACTTCTCTCTCTTTAAGGCTAGTCAAGAGGGGCTACCCAATTATCCCATGTGGAGATCATAGACCTTGCTCCTGGCCTAGGTAGCTTGTTCTGAAACTAAGTGTTAGCATCTTGGAGAAGTCATGTAGTTTGCAACTGGAGATCAACTTATGACGATCACTTGCACGGGGAGATCTTGGCCAAGCCAAGTGAGGTGATCTGGAGATCTTGGCAGGGCCAATCTAGGCTTCAACCTTGGGTGCTTTAGACATTAAAGAGATGCGGATTTTTATTATTGGCCTATGTGTCACCTAACAAGGCTTACACGTGGTACCACACCATTAAGAGATTATGTGGAGATGATGATGCCATCCACATAGGAGAAGTGAATGTCTGTCCGTACCCACAATATCATGCTATAGCCTGTTTATAAAGCCACAAGATTGTTTAAATTATGCATGAATGTTTCATTAATAATGCACAATAGCCAATTCATGTAAAGGCATGCAATAAGCTAAGGGTCACCTAGAGAAATCCTCTTTATTTAAAAATGATTCATTTGTCTGTTTAATATGGCATGTCTCATTTAATCTGGATTGTCTTCGTACTTAATTATTTCTCCCCATTATAAGCTTGGCTTTCAGACCCATTTTTACAAGATAAGTCAATATTCTATTGACCTTGGCATCATCTATGGAGCTTTCAGATTGCACCCATGCATAATTAATTTTTAATTACTTGGCATGTAGTTCTGTGCAGTCTATCTATGTGTTAAAACACAATGACACAACTAGTCATTCTTCCATTTCTTTTTATATTTTCTTTGATAAAACTTTATCAGAACAGCCGAGGGACAACACCCATGTATGCTAGGCCATAAAAAAAAATCCCTTATCTGCCAAGATTTTTATTTTTCCCTGCAAAGTCTAAAAACTGTCCATGGGAGAATAAATTAATATATACTCTATGTATACTGACACCTCAATACTGTCAAAGGAGCTTCAGTTTTTTCACTCCATAACCATCGCATCATGCACAATGGGGCTGCCAATTTGGGTCTATGTTATTATAATTTATGTTGTTATTTATGGTTCTCCCAAGAGCAATTTAGAAAGAAATTACTAAAATATTTCTATTGTTAACATGATTCTCTTTAAAGAATATTATATTTTTGTAATTGTATGCACCAAGAGTATTATGGTTTTGACCTGTTTTTGCATATAAACTATCATCATCCTTGTTCATAGGTCCTTGTTTTTGAAAGCCAAGTCTCTTTCTACTTCTGATCCTGCCTTTCCCTCCTACCTTACATATCTGAAGGCTTGCACCTGTTTATTTATTTATTTTATTTTTTTTCCCACTCTTTATCTTTTTAACTAATTCATCTAGCATCCCTAATGTATGCATGCCTAATTTGAAAATGCAATCTCCTATTAAGTGCAATGCACTATTAGGGTAAATTTTAGTAGTTCGAATAAAAATGTTAACCTAAGATGCATTGTTTGGAATAGGATCAAGTGATTCATGATCTTAGAGAGTAGAATAGTTTACAACTTACATATCAAACACGTGATGACTAAAGAATGCATGGAGTTCCATCTATTATGAGAATGGATTTGACTCCAATTTTCAAGAGGGGATGTTGATAGTTTCCATATTTGTTATATCTAAAGCTCACATCTTATACTAAATTGTGATTTATCGTGTTCTTTGCTCGATAATTTCTACTGCTGTCAACAGTAATTTGCTTCTTATGGCATTGTCATACACCTTTTCCCATGTCTACAATTGGCGTGCCTCAAAATATTCACAATGCATTTCAATTTTAAAATAATTTATTTGCTAGCTTTGCTACTCATTTTGTTTAAACATGATTCATCTCATTTATTCTATAAACTTTCCTTGATTGTCCTGCATTCCTTACCGTAAAGCATGGTTGTTTGTATTCATCGTTCCTACCTACAACAGTACATATCACTAAGATAACACACCGGGGACACCTTTACAATTTGTATATAACCATGGACAGTGCTATATCGGGTCGAGTGGGTGCAATTGAACCAACTAGTTTCTTAAATTATTGTTTTAGCTATAGTTCAAACATATTGGCCATGTTTGGCTTGGTTTGGTATTCATTTTCAGAAACTAGTTTGAGAAATTTTTTCTAAAAAACCAAAAATTGGTTTCGTGAAAAAAATGAAAAAAATCAAAAGCACTTATAATTTTTATATAGTTTTATCTTTTTAGAAGGAAAAAATAATTTTTTAAAATTCAAAATTAAATTTTTGATTTTATTTTTGTCAAACTAGTTTTTATTTTTTTATTTTTAAAAATTAAGAAAAAAATTTCAAAGAATGAAACCGAACATGGCCATTATTTCAAAATTGGCCCCAATTAAAATTTTAAAATAACAAGTTTAGCTATGACTGTAAAATTTGCTTCAAAATTGCCCCTATTAATTTTTTATTTATCTCTATGTGTGGTATGTAAAGGAAATTGATTGAGACATTTTTGAACATTTTTATATTTGTCATTTAGTATATTAATATAGTTTAATTTATAAAAAAAAATTAGGTTAATTTTATTAGCACTTTAAAATATTTAGTTTTTTCGATTGTCAAACAAATTTCGTACATGATTCTATGTAATATTTTGCCCCCACTGGAGGAAAATCCTGGTTCTGCACAACTTGATGCAACAAAGTCTTGACCGTAATTCCTAAGTGTTAATTGTTTTATGTTGTACTATGAGCTATGGAACCACTTTCATACTTATTTTTGTATGAGGTAGCACATAGCTTTTGAGGACAGCCTAACTAATCCTTGCCATACTTGTAGGGACCAATTCAACTAGAAACCCTCCCCTAATATCCTTTACATAGCAATATGTTTTACGTTTATCATTTACTTACCAAAACCGTCCTTTTCCTAGGTTTAGGACTAGTCATGCTAAACACTAGTTTCTAAGACAGAGACATAGTTTGCCTCTATAATATACATAATCTTTATAGCAACATTCTTTGTATAATATCTTCCTCCTTATGGAACAAGAAACTAAAATGATTAATTAACCAGTCTCTTATTTCCTCCCAAAATTTTCTATAATTGATATTCCAATTTTGTAATTTAGGTCTGGCTTACTAATTAACCAACCATTCTCTTTAAAGCAATGCCTTGTAATGTAAAACCGATATTAACTTTGTAGTTGTGCCTTTTCTGATTAAGTGGTTGAATAATGAACAATTCCCTGATTTACTTATTGTTAGAATTTATCTTTTATGATTAGAGGTGTGAGCGGAGCGGTGCGGTGCGTTACGTTACGGTGTGGTTTGAGGATAAAATAAAACCAAATCTTGGATTGTGGATTGACAAATTTGATATTCGTAATCAAATCACGGTTTGAGCAATTTCAACAACCAACGGTCCGACATGACCCTTATCAACTTTTTTCTAGACTTATGATTAGAGGTGTGAGCGGAGCGGTGCGGTGCGTTACGTTACGGTGTGGTTTGAGGATAAAATAAAACCAAATCTTGGATTGTGGATTGACAAATTTGATATTCGTAATCAAATCACGGTTTGAGCAATTTCAACAACCTATTAGTTGATTGAAGAATAAGCTTAAACAATTATCTAGCATTTTGCATAATATATAAATCTAATTTGCAATATTTTTCATATATCTAACATTAACTAATTTTACATAATATATTTCATATATATAACATTAATTTGCACCAAATTCCACATCTCACTCTCACATTGATTTTTACTTTGATATTTTATTAGAAGTAAAAAAATTTATGTGTATTAACTATGGCGGGATGGAGCGGTTTTGGAGGCGGATTATAAATTTCAAACCATGGATCAACCAACCCGCGGTTAGCAAGCGGATTGGGCAATATTTTGCACACCCCTACCTATGATATAAAAGTTGAAGAATTTACCATTTGCTAATAAAGCTACCTCTTCTGCTAATAGAGCTAATAAAGCTAACATATTGGGATATAGAGCTAAGAGTGTGATATTGGGATATTTGTTAGTAAAGTCATGTCTTTTGATTATATATTTGCAGTCTCCTACTAACAACACAAACTCTTTTTAGAAGGTTATGTGTTTGTGTCGGACCCCGATAGTCGTCAAACACATGTCCAAACATGTTATATTATTATTGTTATTTTTACTTTTTAGAACCTGACATGCTTCAAACACTTGGGGGGACACACGTGTGCCCATGGTTTAAATACACACGAGACACATTGCAAGTTTGGATAAATGAACTTGGGATCCAATGATAAATTTTTAGAAGATATGGATTTATACCTATTAATCCCTATTTCCTCATCATTATGGCTTTTTAATTTTAGGATTTTTTAAACCCAAAACTTTTAATTTGTTCATAAATAAAGTTTTCTAAAATAGATATTACTCTTTTTGTTCATACTTTTTTTCCCAATATGTAGGGGGTGGGTGAAGGAGAAGGCCTATGTTGTTTGGGAGATGGGAAGAGAAGGGACATGCTTCAAGTAGGCCAGGGCATTCAGTTAGGGATGGCAATTTTAACTCGGTCCGATGGGGACTCGCTCCCCCAACCCCGATTAGAATGATTTTTTTTTTTCCAAAAATACCCTCAACGGGTCAGGGATGGTATTCGAAAATGAATCCCCGACAAATTTCGGGTCGGGGACGGTGATACGTACCCTAGCCCCGGCCCGTCCCTGGCCCCGTCTCCGTTTTCCCCGATGTAAAATTACTATCATTGTGAGAATAATATTAGTATAGTATATATTATGTGAATATTGTTTTCTCACAATTATATCCCTATATATATATATAAACCAAATCCTAAAATAGAGTTCACACTCACACAAACACAGTTGACCGCCTCTCTCTCTCTTTCTCTAAAACCCTTCCATCACCGCCGATCTCCCTCCCTCCACTGTCTTCCTCTCCCTCCTCCCATCACCGCCGATCTCTCTCCTCCTCCATTGTCTTCGACGAGAGAGAGCTGTGGTTAGGGTTTCTGATCTCAGCGAAAGTGAAGTCACCTACTTCACCCACTTAAACCTACTCCACTAAACCTAACCCACTACACCACTACCACCTCCACTTCACCTACTCCTTACCTACTACACACTCACCCTCTTCTATATATAGGAATCATGAATCATTGTAATATATATCAACATATCAATCAATAATAATACATACAATTTATTCTCTCTCTTTCTCTATACATTATTTCTTACAGTTTCTGATCTCAGCGAAAGTGAAGTCAGATCTGCAACCTTCGACCTCCCATAGATCTTGACTTATTCTGTTAGGGTTCGAACTTGATACCTCTTGTACAACAGTGCAATCAATAGTTTTGAATCTCTAAGCTTGAGTGTGTGGTTGTCAATGGCGGATTCGTATCGAAGGTGAAGGGAGGGAGGCCACCGACAACCTCCTCCTTTGCCACAACTGCGACTTGGACACCCACAACAGCCCCCGAGTTGTGTGTGTTTGTGTGTTAATCCATAAACATATGTAGCGTTCTTGTTAAAAATTTGTGCTAGCTTTAGTTTCTGTTTGGGTGCTGAGAAAAATAGAGGGAAAGTAAAAGAAAATTTAAGAATCTTTTTTATTACCTAGATCGGGTTGGAAAAGGCTTTTCAATTTTTATGTCAACCATGTGATCTGGTCGATTTATTGCGTCCATGTGATTATGATTTATATCAAATTCCATTGGCTTGTCATTTTGGGATCTGTATTCTGAGGTCTTTGACTTGAATTGCATATTGTTTCCAAAGCATGTCAATTAATTCATTTAGAAAATAGGCAAGCTGGTATTGTTGCTGTTGCTGTTGCTGTTGCTGTTGCTGTTTTGTTTTGTTTCTTTTTTTTTTTTTTTTTGCCCCGGCCTTTTTTAAAAAATTTTTTTTGATCCTCATTAGGGTACGGGGGTAGGGGTGGTGATATGTTCTCCGTCGGGGATCAGGACCGGGGTCGGAGGAATTTTTACCGTCGGGGATCGGGGATGAGGAGTGTAATCTCTGGCCCCGCCCCGGCCCGTTGCCATCCCTACATTCAGCAAATAGAAATGGGGAAATATCTGTTCGGGAAAAAAAAACAATAGATAAGATGGTGTGAAGTCCCTGTTTGTATAGTGCATACCTTTACTTGTCAGGGGACAAGGAAAACAAATAAAAGAAGAGTGAAAATTTTCATGTTATATGATGCTTTAGTGAATTAAAAATAAAAAGTTGCAGGGAACATTTTTTTACATGAAAAGTAGAAAACTGTATCTGGGTAGGCGGCACATAGGCATGCAATCTATCCTTTGGTGGAGGTCCTTCCCTTTTTCTCCTTTGCTATGTAACAATCAGCCCAATCTAAAGTTTGGAAATGTTTATGCAAACATGTGTTTCTATGCACACGCATACACACACACATGTAGAGAGAGAGAGCAGTAGGGAGGAGACACTTGCGAGTCATGCTTCATCGTTCGTTAGGATTTCTGGGGAGTCAAGAAATAACATTCCTAATAAATTAGACAGGTGGGGGTGGTGCATTAAAAGATTAGACAAGTAATAAATTTATTCATGAAGTCAGATGTAACATCAGTAGAGGATGGCGTGAATTGATTGCACTATAATGAGGAATCATTTGAAGTTTATTGTGAACACCAATGGGGTTTATTGTTTTTAGAGAAGAATTCACGGCCTTTGTCTAGCAATTGGCATGTAGCTTTCATAGAAGAGCTGGATAGCTGAAAAAGATTTGTCTAACCAATTTTGAGCCTTTGGGATAAGTTGTTGCACAAAAAATTGAGAAGTTATTAAATTCGAGCTAAAAAGATAAATTCATCATGTCATCTCTTGTAAACTACCCTGCCCTGACAGGAGATATATCAGTTTCTCTGAAATATTCTATTGATACAAAAACCAGGATAAGTTGATACTTTTAAGGGTTTATCTTCCGAAGGCACCCCAAGTTGAAAACATGGTCAGCATGGAAATTTATTCTCACAAGGCTACTTGTGCAAAACAAGTAAGACAATTAGTAGCAACACCATGTACTAATCATTAAATTCTGGTCTCACGAAGCAAATAAGTATCTGTAGTTTCTCTCTCTACCCAGCTACCCTTGTTTTAGACATTCATTCCATTACAATGCAATACACAAGTTATTTAATGACTTGTATATAAAGTGAAAGTAATGCTTCATCAATCTACAGAACTTACTATCTTCCCTTTAGATTTTTATCTCTTTAATATGATCTTGTTGATTAATAAATGCTTGTAATTGTGCAAATTAGAAGACAAAAGGGTAAAAAGATGATTTTGATAGGAAACTACATAATAAGTACATAAAAATTATGCTCGACATTTCCTTAACTTAGTCATGAAATAACATTAAAAGATGATTTTTTTTCCCCATTACTGAAGATTATTGAGGTTTTGCAATTAATTTGATGCCCTACTGTAAGCTCAAAATCCTTCAAGCACACATTGATTTGTCAATACCAGGAAAGAAATTGCATTATTTTTGAACATGTCTATCATTTCATTTGAGAATTGTTGCTAATATAATAGAACAAATCATGGTCTGAACTTGCAGAAGAAACAAAAAATGCATCCCTCAATGTATGATGATAGTGATTTTCTTAATCACCAACCTGGCGAGCGATTAAGATGCAGTGAAAGGCTTCCTTCTTTTATAAAACATCGCTCTTGCCCCTGCTGCAACTCATGCTCAGCCTCCGCTCAAAATAAAGTTGCAACTCCTCGCAAGATGGAAGTGGAGAATAACCCAAAGGAGCAAGCTCTTTCGAGTGTGGAGATACCTGGCACAAATGAAATTGATGGCATATTGACCGATGTGCCCCTCCAGAAGCACGTTTCTGTGGGCCCTCTCTTTCAAGCTGAAGTCCCCGAGTGGACCGGTGTGATTTTCAAGAGCAATTCAAAGTGGCTCGGCACAAGAATGTGGCCTCCAGAAAATGGAATACACAATTCCATTATTAAAATGGAGCGCATTGGCAAAGGGAGAGGAGATTCATGTGATTGTCAACTTCCTGGTTCTGTTAGGTGCGTCAGATTTCACATTGCCGAGAACAGAATGAAATTGAAGTGTGAACTTGGGTTGTTGTTTTATCATTGGCGATTTGATCGGATGGGTGAGGAAGTCTCACTTTCGTGGACAATGACAGAAGAGAAGAGATTCAAAGATTTGGTAAGATTGAAACCCCCATCCCTAAACAAGTGCTTTTGGGATGGCGCATTCAAGTTCTTTCCTACCAAAACGAAGGAAAAGTTAGTGAGCTATTACTTCAATGTGTTCCTTGTCCGGCGCAGAACATATCAGAACCGAGTGACTCCAAAAGATATAGACAGCGATGATGATGAATCAGAATTTGGATGTGTAGGCGATAGTTATGGGCACGAGGCACTGAATATTCCAGGCCCTAAATTACCCATTTGTGTCGAGAATAAGCAGTGCATTGATTTGTAGTCTATCATAAGGACTTCCTGGTTCTTCTGCAGATTTGTGCCCGATAAATTTTGATGAGAGCTGAAGCACTCGCGAATGAGAGAGACTGGGAGAGCAGTTGTTATGTAGCGGTCTCATGTGGGTTGAGCAAAAAATTTGGAATTGGCACAGGTGAAGTATATCCATAGTTATAGCGAGAGTTCAGTTTAGAGAGTTTGTAATGCAGATTGGCGTTGCTTCTTGTGAATATTGTGGAGCAACACCAAAAATACTCATCCAATGTTACAAGTTTTGAAATTCTCAGATACCATGTATTTACTTGAAAGGTAAGTTGAGATGGAAGTTTCTTTTCAGCATGGCACTTGATAATTCTTTATTTTCTTTGGTTCACCAATGTTCTCTCTCTCTCTCTCTCTCTCTGGGATTGTGAGTCAGTAAAATTGTTTAATTTCTTGGATGTGTTCAATGGTGGCAATTCTGCTCTTAATTTAGACTAAGATTTTGCAAACTGTCTTAATTGGTCATGCTAAGATGTATCTTACCCATTGTAGAAAGTACCAATTGTTTGATTGTGCAGATATGACGCTCTGGGTGATCTGGAAAGTAATGTTGTAGTAGTGATTTAATAAGAATATACTAAATAATGTCATTATTCCCCATTTTCATTCACTTTGACATATCCTCATAGTATTCTGATTCTTCTCTTTTTTCTTTTGGCTGATTCTACAACTTCTCTCACATATTTTGAACATGACTCTCCAATCGATCAATGGGAGAGAATTCAAGCTCCTTTTCCCCATTTTGGAAGGAAAAGAGGGTGTTTTTTTTCTTTTTTAAGCATAACATTAAAGAAGTTTAAGCAGTTACACATTTGGAGCAGAAAGTACCAATAGCGTCTTTAAAAATTTGAGAGGAAATATAAGCAGGAATAGAAGAAAAGATAATTAGGCCCTAATTGTGGTTGAAGCCTTTATTTACAAAGAGATTAGCACATTTGTTTCTTTCCCAGTTGACATATTTAATTGTTGTCCTCATTGGCCTAGAAGGTACGTGCAGTCACAAATTAAGATGATGGCATTCTCCAGTCTCCCCATAATGAGTTATTTCATCAACAAAGTATCAGCTTCCACTTCAATGTGGATCATTTTTGGGTCAATTGCAAGTTTGAGACCATCCCTCAAGGCCCAAAGTTCAACTTCAATACTACATTTAATTCCAATGTTGGGTCTATAATGTTGAAACATTACGGTTTCTTTGCAATAATAGGAGCATTGGTGGTAATTTCAATTTTTTTGGCATGTATATATGCGAAAGTAGTAATGGCAATAGCAACTGTAATGGTGACAGTGCCATAGTCATTGGCATATGTTGGCAGCAATAAGCGTCATAAGTGATAGCAACGACATCGGTGAGTATGGTGGTTGCAGTGGTTGTCTTTGGCAGCTCATTAAGGCTGAAGTTTTTTTATTTATTTTTTTATTTTTAAGGACAAGGCTAAAGTTGTATAGGATATGAACAACAATATCCACTCAATAGATGATTTTCATTTAATTCTTTCCTACTATGAAGATCTACTAGAGACTAGAGAGTACAAAATGAAGAAATACTTGGTGGTTGGGGAAGTACAAATGTTTTTATCTACAATAATGCTATAGACTACCAAAATTTATTCGTGAAAATCATATTGAAGTCTTTTTAATCAACAGGGCAGTCAATGTTTAACTTTTTTAATTGTCTAGGGAGAGTTTCAAGATGTTTTCATAATATACTTTTTCGTTATCTCCAGCATTTTCGTTTTATCTATGTTATTCCCTATTACACCAATGTACAAGGGCACTTAATGAGGTAGCATCCCAAGTTTCATTAATCTGTTTATTTTGTTAGACAGATAATAAAAATAAACAACCCCAACTTCAACGAACCAAGCTTCAATATTTCCTTCGACTTCTCATGCTACAATGAAGGATTCTTTTTCGTCCATGTCACAACTTATTATTCATATAATTCCAGGAATTATAAAAGGAAAAACAAGAAAAATAAAACATATAACAAAGAGCTCATAGTTAAATTACTTTGGATGGCTCTTCACAAAGTAACCCCCCATATAGGCTAGTATGCTAATTAGGCGCCCTTCTTGATATTAGACATGCTTTGTTTTGTACCTTTTGTTCTTGTTTCATTAGCACTAAAATAAATAATAATAATAATAATAAATAATAAATACTTTGGATGAATAAATGTAAATTTTTATGATTACCACATTGAAGAAAGAGAAACCATCATTCATCTTCAAAATAAGAAGTTTATTAACGAGTATTGTTAGGAGTATTTGTTTACATGTTTGAAATAATTGTACACTCTTTTGTGAAAATGCTTCACCTTAAGAATGTTATTTATTTCCTATTACACCAATGTACAAGGCACTTAATGAGGTAGCATCCCAAGTTTCATTAATCTGTTTATTTTGTTAGACAAATAATAAAAATAAACAACCCCAACTTCAACAAACCAAGATTCAATATTTCCTTCGACTTCTCATGCTACAATGAAGGATTCTTTTTCGTCCATGTCACAACTTATTATTCATATAATTCCAGGAATTATAAAAGGAAAAACAAGAAAAATAAAACATATAACAAAGAGCTCATAGTTAAATTACTTTGGATGGCTCCTCACAAAGTAACCCCCCATGTGGGCTAGTATGCTAATTAGGCCCTTCTTGATATTAGACATGCTTTGTTTTGTACCTTTTGTTCTTGTTTCATTAGCACTAAAATAAATAATAATAATAATAATAATAATAAATAATAATAATAAATACTTTGGATGAATAAATGTAAATTTTTATGATTACCACATTGAAGAAAGAGAAACCATCATTCATCTTCAAAACAAGAAGTTTATTAACGAGTATTGTTAGGAGTATTTGTTTACATGTTTGAAATAATTGTACACTCTTTTGTGAAAATGCTTCACCTTAACACACTTACTACCAAAATTCTTTGAAAAAAATGTGGTATTTTGAAAATATGTATTTGTTCATATTTCATTAGAAACTCCCCCGAGAAGAAAGAATGTTATCAATTCTTGAGATGCACAAGAAAGAATCTTTTCGAGAAGCTATGTATGTTGCTCTATCGGAATTCCATCCGAGAGCACATGCTAAGAGGAGAGTTTTCTTAGTCATAGGGCTCATTTGGAAAGTGATTTTTTTAGTGACTTTTTAGTTTTTTAGTTAAAAATATGAAGTGAAAAAAATCAATATGTTTAGGAAGACTTTTTTCAACTTTTTACAAAAAAAATATACAAAAAATAAAATAAAAGAGAAAAAATCTTTGACTTTTTTATATGAGTTGAAAACCTTTTAGCTTTTTGACTTTTTAACTAAAATAATCTCTTTCCAACAAACTTTGATATTTTTTATGAGTTGAAAACTTCTTAAACTTTTTGACTTTCTTAATAACTTTTTAGCTAAAATAGCATATTCCCAAACAGACCTTTTAACATTTAGGAAGGAACAACTCATGTGAGTAAGTCATGTGGACATGATGTCAACATGAAAGTTGATCAGTTGGAAGATTGAGGGTGTTCCAGCTCAGCTCACTTATGAACAACTCATGGAGTAACAGTTTCTTGTAACCGTGTCTGCAAAGAAGTCTCTTTTCTGGTGTAATTTGTGAAAACAACAAAAAAGCAAAAAGATAGACCCAAAATGCATTGTTATTTGCCTGAGGAAATGACAAACAAATCACCAAATCGCAACTCAGAAAAGTACATTGAAAGATGCAACAGATAGCCAAAGAGTTCATACAAGAGAGAGAGTGCTTGCAAAGCAACAAAGTAAATAAGACAAGGCCAGTCAACAATGTGATTCAGATTAGAATAGCAAACATAAAGAATTTGGAAATGGAAGCTCATAATCTCATTTATATTAAAAATGGTATGGAAAAAATTTCTGTAGCTTTTTAAAATCAGTTCTTATTCTGAACATTTGTACAATTCTAATGTAAAATTCCACCACTAAAAACAAATTTTATAATCTATGGTGAAGTATGAACTTGAACATTGGCAAGAAGCCTTGTGAGCTTGCTCAGAGTTTCCCGAGCAGCTACAGTATCTGGATGATCCTCTCCGCAGATTGAAGTTCTTACGAAAATCGCCTTCCTAACTAGATCATCCGCTATGTCAAACTGTCCCCCTCTCAGCATTAGCTTTGATCTGGTTTCAAGCACAGTTGCTCTTGACAGTGCTAGCTCTTGCCAAAGGCAAGGATTCAACTGGGCATTTGTTTGGATCGGTTTCCAACAAAGCGATTTATCCAACCACTTCTCAACTGGGATGACAAATGCTTGATCTGCGGCCTCCAATGCATTTGTACATAGGCGAAGGAGTTCTAGTGCGGCGCTGCACCGTGAGAATGTAATGAAAGTCCTGATAGCGAGCGGTAAAACCACTTCTTTTACAAGAACTAACAATTCCGACACCTTTAACTCAACAATTATAGGATCATTACTGAATCCAAACAGCAAAAAACATGCTGCCCATATATGTTCCGAGTGATGGGCAATAGATCCGCGGCTAATCACAGCTTGTACCATTGCTTGTGCAGCTCCGGTGACTCCTCTCTTTCGCACGTAAAGCTTGATGAATTCATTGATCTGGATATGCCCTTCCTTTGTACAACTTCTCGCAATATTGAATCTTAACAAAATTGAAGAAGCTTCTGCTTCGGATTTCCTGATGTATGCTGATGAAAACCCACAAGTTAAGGAACGAAAAAACTTTTTCCATAACTGAGTATGGTTGTGTTTCTCGGGTATCTTGTGAGCAGCCAGAGCTAATAGAGAAATCGGAATCGCTGCTGGTGCAAACCAACCACTTGCTTGCACCATTCGAGTTGCTAAACTCCTTGGCCCATCCGCATGATCAAATATTGAGAAACAAACCTCAAAGAGTTTCAAAAGGAAGTTATTTCTCCTCATTGAATGAGTTTCCCTATCGCTCCCAGCTAAGTCCCTTAAAGGCATTCGATTAATGGTATCCAATAGTCTACTTGGATTTATGGGAAGCTCAGAAAGAATTGCACCTACAATGGCAATGCCCAAGGTTAGTCTTCCAAGTTTCTCCTCAATAACCCGGAGAGCATCAACCTCTGCAACTGGATAATCCCTGACACTTCCTTGCATTAGAGACATTGCCTCAACCCCCGATAGGTAAGAAAGTTTTAAAGGCTCCAAATTCATTACACGAGGAAGGCGTGTGGATATTAGAATGTGGGTTTCTCCACCAAAACGGGGAAGAAGATCCATTACAAGTTTGTGGTCCCACCAGTTCTTTTCACTTTCTAAGTTATCAATCACCACCAAAAACGGAATGTTTCGCATAAACTCCTTTCGGACTCTGGCTACGGCTGACTCTTCCTGTTCTTCAAAACTCTTGATCCTGCTTTTCTCCAAACCGTTCTCTACCCCAACATCAACCTCTAGGAATGGCCACAGGTTCAAATAATTCTGCCAGATATATCTGCTTTCCCCTCCGACCCATAAAACCATCTTATACCTCTGGTGGAATCTGTATGCAAACTCAAGAAGCAACTCTGTCTTGCCAATTCCAGAGTGTCCCGACACACAAGCAATCCCTTTTCCATACACAATTTTGATTGATCTTCTTCTCCTCCTTCCTTGCCTTCCACCACTCTTCATATTTGGTAATTCTTGTTGTGTATGAAGAAATTCAGTTCTTTGCATCTCTATCTCCTTTTCAGACTCCTTCCACACAACTGGTTCTTTACCCTTCCTTCTACCACCGCTCTCCATTTGTCGTTCTCTTCGTTTCTCCTCAACCGAACTGCTCTTACCCCAACCAATCGTCACATTCTTTCGCCTATTTCTGGGTCTGAGTTCGAAATAATCTGTTTTAAAATCTCCACTATCATCACCAAAAAGCATAAACTCCAGTTCAGAGAGTTCCTTCTTCCTACCAATGAAATTCTCATTTCGAGGGAAAGGGAATTCCTCTTTCTCTACCTTTTCCTTCCATTTGGTCAATCTATCCACCACACTTCTCCTACCCAACCTCAATGCCAAAAGGGTAACAGACCGGAGTATGCAATCTCGCCAATTACCATCATGAGCCTCCAGTTTCCACTCATCCACGCGAGAGAGAGCACTAACAGCATGTTTCCAATCCTTCTCCAATCCTCCATATAGAAGCCATAGTTGACCCCCATACTTTTCCCACATCTCTCCCCTTTTCTCAACTATATCCCTCACAAGGCAATCATCTGGACCCAAATCCAAGTATACAGGAACCAAAATTTTCTTGCCCGAGAAGAATAATAGCTCCTCGATGGTAAATGGATTCCTAAAAGATTTATGGGTTAAGATTACAACTCCGAAAGAACATGCATCCATTGCCCTCTCAACAATTCCATGTTTCCGAGCATTTCGACAGCAAGATCTATCTGCTACAAAACAACTGATCCCCTGAACTTCCAACTCAGCACGAAGCCAATTAGTAAATCTCAGTAATAAAGGTTTGCGACCATGAAAACCTATGTACACATCACAGCACCTTAGTTTGATAGAGGAAAGTGAAGTTGAAGCCGGAGGGTACGAGGTAACATGGGCTGATCTCCCAAGCTTTTTTGGCTTTTCTTTGTGCCTGAAATAATCATTGCCATAGCCTATACCATAATAAGAAAGGGTGTTGTTAGAAATGCCAGTTGAGGAAGAAACATGTTTGAACTTCTGAGAATCGCTTGAAGTAGATGCTACGGGGATAGGCGAAACTTCTGACGATGGAAATCTGATATTTGATAGGCATTCTGAGTCGGGAATTCTTGAAATGGAACTTGGGAAATCAACACCTGTTTTGGAATTACAGAATGGAATGTTGGAACGTGTCGTTATTTGACACGTTGGCGATCTTGGAGAGAAGAAAGGCGACTGATTTGCTGAAAAAAATGCTGAAGATGAAGATGACAAATTCCTCAAACTCGTGCTACCTAACGAGCCAAATCTTGATCTTTCCTCATGGAGATCCATGTTTATATGGTCGCCTGATCTTTTGAGGCATGATGTCCCATGCATTCTACATATGAGGTGAGCTGCTCTGAAATGGCGGGTTAAGGGTTTTAATCACACAAGTACCCAAAATGGACCTAATAAGTCTTAATATCAGAAATTAAATACTTCAAAACAACATCAACTTACTAATAAAGAAATTCATTTTAAGAAAAAGATCTAAAAAGTTTGAAACAAATGGGGAAACAAATTAGAACTTGAAAGGCAAAATTGTGGGTGGCCAACAATTTCTTTCTTTTTCTATACCATTGTTGTCAATTGATATCACACACAAATTCTCTAACTTAATGGCCAAATATTACACAGATTTAAAATTAAAAGATGCAAAACGAAAAGAAAAGAAAAGAAACACAATCTTGTTTGAGCATTAAAAAAGTGCACAAACTTTTTGAAAAAAAAAAATTCAGTATCAGAAAATGAGCATAGAATGCTAAAGAAAATGAGAGCTTAAGAGAATTCATGCTTGTATGATCTAAGTAAACACATTCAAACATTTTACAGAGAAGCCATTAAAAAACTAAGAGACCTAGCCAACTTCTACTATATTTGATGGGGAAAATCTCAAAATTTACGAAGGCCATTAAAGCTTTAGGGCAATATACAGATCTAAATGAGCACTTCAAATCACAATAGAAGGTTGAAATCTAAAGAATCATTTTTTTTCAAATTAAATAGAATAAATAAACCATATATTCCCAAGGGTACTCAGATCCGAAAACTTACTTGCTCCACCATCATAAAGATATGCCCTTTTTTTCCTCCAAATGAAGCAAACCCAGTTTCTGAAATCGAATGAAGCCCAAGAAAATCAGTAAATAAGTGCAACCCAAATCTCTAAATACTATCTACAATCAACAAAACACAACAGTTTCATCAACCAGCCAAAGAAGTAATAGATAGAGTAAACAAACATACCCAAGACACAACTGGAAGAATCTATACATATAGAGATATGAGTAGTGATGAGACAGAGAGAAGAAGTTGAGAATGGGGATTGGGAAGGACTTACGTGAAATGGGGAAGTGAAATAATACAGAGTTTTTTTAGCATTTAAATGGTTTGGGTTGGGAAGAGACCCATTTTGGAAAAGTGAAATGAGACAAAAAAAAAAGAGACTAAAATGAATGAAGGAATGAATGAATATATGAATTGGAAAACAAAAAGGAAAAGGGAAGGACAAGGAAAATGCTATGTTTGGTTTTACTTTTTAAAAAAAAATATTTTTTATTTTTCATATTTTTTTTATTTTTATTGGTTCTTTTAAATATTTTAAGCAATTTTTAAAATTTTTAGACATACATAATTTAGATGTATTTAAAAAGTTAAAATTTATAAAAAAAACCTTTTAAAAATTTACTAAATATACAAAATATAAAAAAATGGGAGAATTCAGTACATTTTTTTTTGTATTTTTATATATTTATTAATTTTTTAAAATATTTTTTTATAATTTTTTACTTTTTAGATACATCTAAGTAAGGTGCATCTAAAAAGTAAAAAAAATGTTTAAAATTTTAAAAACATTCACTACAAACAAAAAAATGCAAAAACAAAAAAAACTTAATTTTCAAAAAACTTAATTCAAAAATTCAAACCAAACACTGATTTTTTTTTATTTTTTTTATTTTTTGGTACCTTTTTCAGATCAAAAAAATTTGCTGCGAAAAGATTTCAGAGCGCCTGTGTGTGAGCTGTTTCTCCAAAGTCCACATTCCCTGAAATTGGAGTAATTATTGGGTGCACTTGAGGATGGTGAGGTGGTGTTTTAATAATGTTATAATTGGTGGGAAAAATAAAATTTATAATTTTGTATTGAATAATTAAGAAATATGAGGAGATATAGTGTATAATAATTAATGAAAAGTATGAACACGTATCGCTTCAAGAGTCCCCAATACTTTTTTTGAAAATTGTGAAAATTTAAATTATCAAAACCTTGACATAGATGGAAAAAGAAAATAAAATATTTTATAGAGTGAATACGTCACATTTTAAAGATGAGTTTGAAGGTTAAATAAAAAGTGATTTTTCGGATTTTATTCTTATCTTATGTTAATTAATGAATAGAAGAGTGAGACCATGTTATAATACATCGTCTTGATCATATTGCATATCTGGTAAATAAAATGCTCTCCCATTATAGATGAGTTTGATTTTTTTGGCATATTTTAAGAACTTGAAAAGAATGTGTTTTATAGAACGAATAAGTCACAAATATGTCACATAAATTGGAGTAATTATTGGGTGCACTTGAGTACGGTAACATGGTGTTTCAGAGATGTTATAATTGATGGGGAAAGTGAAATTTATAATTTTGTATTAGGTGATTAGAGAACAATAAGAGATATAGTGTATGATAATTAGTGAAAAGTATGAACACATAGCGCTTCAAGAATCCCCAATACTTTTTTTGAAAATTATGAAAATTTAAATTACCAAAACCTGCCATAGATGGAAAAAGAAAACAAAATATTTTATATAATGGATAAGTCACATTTTGAAGATGGGTTTGAAGGACTTGGGGTCACTGCTGTGCCAAGCAGTGACTGTTGTGCTTTATTTTGTAGTGCATTATGAATTTATTTTTATAATCTGAACCGTTCATGTTGTAGGGTTTGTTCAGTACTTCATGCCTACCAAAAATCATATTAATCGGATATCAACAACTATATGATTGATAACAAAAAAAATAAACAAGAAGTTTTTCTTTTGAAAAATAGTATAAAAATATGCAAGTCGATCATATAGTTATTGATATTCGATTAATATGATTTTTGACAGGCATGAAGTACTCAACAAGTCTTACAAAATTAACAGTTCAAATCATAAAAATAAACACATAATACATCTCAAAATGAGGCACAACAGTCAATGTTGTGCCAAAGACACAGCAGTGACCCCAATTCCAAATTTGAAGGTTAAATATAAAGTGATTTTTCAGATTTTATTCTAATCTTATGTTAATTAATGAATAGAAGAATGAGGCCATGTTATGATACATCATCTTGATCATATCGCATATTTGGTAAATAAAATACTCTCCCATTAGAGATGAGTTTGATTTTTTTGACATATTTTAAGATTTTGAAAAGAAAGTGTTTTATAGAACGATTAAGTCACAAGTATGTCACGTAAATTGGAGTAATTATTGGGTGCACTTGAGTACGGTGACATGGTGTTTCAGGGATGTTATAATTGGTGGGGAAAGTGAAATCTATAATTTTGTATTAGGCGATTAGGGAACATAAGGAGACATAGTGTATAATAATTAGTGAAAAGAATGAACACGTAGTGCTTCAAGAGTCCCCAATACTTTTTTTGAAAATTGTGAAAATTTAGATTACCAAAACAACAATGATAGAGGGCCCTAATTTCTGTGGCTCAAATGGCTCGAATTTGCCAAAACGACGTCGTTTTGAGTACAAAACAACATCAAAATTGTCAAAACGACGTTGTTTTGACAAATTTGAGCCATTTGAGTCACAGAAATTAGGGCCCTCAAACATTTTCCTTACCCAAACCTGACATAGATGGAAAAAGAAAATAAAATATTTTATATAACGGATACGTCACATTTTAAAGATGTGTTTGAAGGTTAAATATAAAGTGATTTTTCGGATTTTATTCTTATCTTAGGTTGATTAATTAATAGGAGAGTGAGACCATGTAATAACACATCATCTTGATCATATCGCATATCTAGTAAATAAAATACTCTCCCATTAGAGATGAGTTTGATTTTTTTGACATATTTTAAGATTTTGAAAAGAAAGTGTTTTATAGAGCGAATAAGTCACAAGTATGTCATGTCTCGTTAGAGGCAAGTTTGAAGGTTAAATACAAAATGACTTTTGGATCTTAATGTGTGTGTGTTTGGCTTGAGTTTTTTAGATTAAATTTTTTTTTAAATTGATTTTTTTTTCTTGTTTTTTTTTTAGTGAATATTTTTAAAATTTTAAGTTTTTTTTTTTTTTTTACTTTTTTAGCTGGACCTTACTTAGATGTATATAAAAAATAAAAAAATTGTAAAAAAATATTTTAAAAAATTAATAAATATGTAAAAATATACTGAATTCTTGTATTTTTTTTATATTTTTGGTATTTAGTGAATTTTTGAAAGATTTTTTTCACAAAAATTATACTTTTTATATGTATTTATGTTAGGTGTGTCTAAAAATTAAACAGATTGCTTAAAATATTAAAAAAATTCAGTAAAAAAAACATAAAACAAAAAAAAAAAAGGTAAAATTTTTTGAAAAATATTTTTATAAAACCAAAAATAAGCAAAGTGAATTTTATCCCATGTTAATTAATAAGCAGAGGAGTTAGTATATGTAACATCACATTATTTTGGTCATGTCAGTACTAGTCACATAAAATATTTTTTCTCTAATGAGACAACTTCAATTTTGATCGTCATATTTTAGAATATTGGTATAATTTGGTGTAAGTTGAAAAGTCGACAATTAAAAACTGAAGTGAAAATATTTATTTTTTTGTTTCTTAAGAATTAATTTATTTAAACTATTTTTGCATCGGTAACTGTAAGTAGAAATTTCACTCAACACTAAGACATACTTTAAAAAAGGAAAAGAAAATAAATTATTAGTACCACATAAGTTTTATTAAACAAGGACTTTATTTGGTTTGGTAATTTTAAGTATTTTTATTATTTTAATATAGGGTTGTTGCTAATGTGTTTAGCAAATAATTAAAAAAACAATTTTTTTTTTTTTTTAAATTTAGATCCTTCTAAACTAGAAGAATATGAAAGTAAAAAATAAAAATTAATGCTAAGTTTTAAAAACTCTCACAATTCTTTTTCTAATAATTTTTTTAAGCAGTTGTCAAACATAAATCAAGCTTGTCATTAGACATAACCACATAGCCAAGATTGAAAAATCATGTGTTCGTGTTATAATCTTTGTATGTACACATGTTATAAAAACAAAAAATTACAAATCATATGTACTTTACAAAAATAATTACTTATACATAAAAAAAAATTAATCAGTGTGTTTGGTTTGAGTTTTCTGGATTAAGTTTTTTGAAAATTAGTTTTTTGGTTTTTCTGTTTTTTTGTTTTTAGTGAATATTTTTAAAATTTTAAACATTTTTTTTTACTTTTTTAGATATACCTTAGTTAGATGTATCTAAAAAGTAAAAAAAATGTGAAAAAAAAATTAAAAAATTAAGAAATACATAAAAATACAAAAAAATGTACTGAATTCTTATATTTTTTTATATTTTTGGTATTTAGTGAATTTTTAAAAGATTTTTTTTACAATTTTTTTACTTTTTAGGTGTATTTATGTTAGGTGTGTCTAAAAAGTAAAAAATTTGTATAAAATATTAAAAAAATTCAGTAAAAACAAAAAAATACGGAAAATAAGAATATAATTTTTTGAAAACTATTTTTAGAATAATGGAACCAAACATAGAATGATTTTAATAATTAAAATTTTAAAACTTTATCATTATTTTGAAAAACAAAATCCTACAACCCCACGGTTTACTTATATTCCCTTATAAAACAGTACAAATCGGTCATCAACATTAACACTTATCATTACTTTCACTCATTGTATCCAAATACTTATTATTTGTCATTAGTCCTCTACATTTATTTATTTTCTTGATTTGAATCATTTTGTTAGAACCACTTGCTTTCTTTAATTTTCCTTTTTCTTGTCTCGATTATTAGGGATTGATATATTAATGCGCACAGAGTAGCAATTAATTGACATTTTGGTTTTTGAAAAATGCTTCCTACCCCCAGCTGGGGGTGAGACCCAGTGAGGTGTCAGCTGGGGATTGGGAGGAAAAAACAGTTTTTCTTTTTTCTTTTTCTTTTTTTGATTTTCGACCAGTGGGGGCACGCCACGTCACTAGGGGCGCGACCCCCACTGGGTGTAAGAAGCATGGTTGTTGGTTTTTATCTAATTTTTAGACAGTGGTCATGAGATGGATGTGTCAAAAAATGAAATGCATAAATTATTTATTTTATTTTCTGTTTTATGACACATTAAGCATTAGATCATATATAAATTTTAAACCATGTAAATTTTGAAATATAATCTAATGATTAGATGTAAATTA